TATCAACATTTATTTATTTTTATATAACTTAAAAGTTTAAAATATACAATAATTATACTCTTAACTGATATTCTAATGTATAAATTAAAAAAATCATTAATAAAAAAATACAATTAATATCCCTTAATATGTACATATTAAACAAATTTTTATTTTTATTATTAATATCAATTAATGTTAACTTTTAATTTTTTAATAAAAATTAATTATAAAAAATATAATTAATACAGCATTAACTTGTGTTATAAATACCCTATTAAAGGTACACAAGTGGCCATCAGTTCTTCACCAATCCTGAAAGTGACGTAGTTTCAATAATATAAAACGTTTTTGCAAAGTTAGGCATTGTTTACTTTAACTTTTCTATCAATTGATAGTGATAGGCGTTAGTTGACACTAGTTTAATGTGCATTTTTCAACTTGAACTTTTTTCTACTCCTTGTTCATGCTGTTCACACTCAAATTAAGAGGTATAATAACAATATCATAAAATTTTTAGGCTATAATGTTTCTTCTAGGATTCTGCTCTTGTTCTCCCCTCTTGTTTGTGAATTGGTATTCTTTTCATGGTAAAGGTTAATATATTGATTGAAGATTCCAATAAAAGAGAAACTAAGTTAATATTTATTGTTCTCTTTTTTCATCTTTTGAACTCAATCAATATTAGTAAGAGTATTTGGTTAAACTTAAAAAGTATTTATATTTTAAGAAATATATTTTTTTCATAAATTTAAAATTTTATTAAAGAAAAAACTTAAAATTAATTTTTTGTGTATTTTAGATAAATTTTTTAAAAATTATGCATCCAATTTTTTTTTCAAAACTTGCTTAATTAATATCCACTTTAGCAAAATAATCTTTAAATTTGCTTTTAACAAAATTTTAAACTTATAAACTATACTTTAAAACAAATACTTTTTAACATTCACTAAGCGGCGATTAGTATATTTGAAAAAAACCTTTTAAAAAAAATTTCAAATACTTGCACTAATGGGAGTAGTGGGGTGAGCACAAAGCAAACTTTTTTCGTTGTAACTTTTATATAATATTAAAAGAGACCAGTGGATCATCATTAACCATAGAATATATGTAACAACATAATATTTTTGTTTAGCTAGGAATTGATTCTAAGAAAGCAATTACAAGGAAACATCTTAAACGAATGCGACTAATTGTCATTGAGTAACATTAAAGAAGAGCTAGAAAATGGAATCAACTCTGCAGATGCAATGATTCTTCTAAGTCTTTTAACATTATAAAGAATAACAAATAAAGCTAGAAGCAAAAACCAAGTCTTTTCCAAACCGCATCAATATTAGTGGGAAAGCAATTCAAATTAATTATTTATGATCATCAAGACTTGACCAATTAAAGATAAGCATGTATATGTGTTTGGTCCCACCTTGGAATCTTATGGTTACAAATAGACCAAAGGGTTCATCTTTTAGCATATAAATACAATATTTGACTAGACGAGATTTAATTGGTTAATTTTTCTAGCTACTTTCCGACTTCTTTGAAACCCTTATACAAAGTATGCAAATTAGACTAAAGCAAGGCCAAGAACATTATCAAAACAATAGAAATTACAATGACAAAATGTTAGATATTTATTTTGAACAAAAATATATATAGAGAACACAATGAATTATCTTCATACCATTATCTATCCTAATAAGAGCAAAAAAAATTAAATCATACCGTTAACTCTTCGTTGTTGTCATCACAAAACTTTTCTCATCTTCAGTTATTAGGATTTGATGTTCAATTGTTGAAATTTGGAGATTTTCTACTAATAAGGGTAAAACTTTTCAATATTTTTTTTTAATTAAGGATATAACATTTTTTTCCTTATTAATCAAAACTAGCACTTTCAAAAATTTATAATTAAGGATATAATTTTTGTGATTTGACTAAAAAAATTAAGTGAATATGCACAAGTTTATATATGATTAATTAAAAACCTTTATGAAGATGGTAATTTTGATTAGTAAGAAAAAATTACCACTTCTTTTAATAAAAAAAAATAAATTATATCATTATTAGAAAAACAATCTTTAAATTTTCCTTTAACAAAATTTTAAACTTATAAATAATACTTTAAAACAAATGTTTTTTAACATTTGCTAAACCCGCTTAGTATATTTTAAAAAAGCCTTTAAAAAAAATTTCAAATATTTGCACTAATGGGAGTAGTGGGGTGAACACAAAGCAAAATTTTTTCATTGTGGCCTTCATATAATATTAAAAGAGACAAGTGGATCATCATTAACCATAGAATATGCATAACAACAAAAAAAAAAATTTAAGCTAGGAATTGATTCTAAGAAAGCAATTACAAGGAAACATCTTAAACTAATGTGACTAATTGTCATTGACTAACATTGAAGAAGAGCTAGTAAATGGAATCAACTCTGCGGATGCAATGATTCTTCTGAGTCTTTTAACATTATAAAGAATAACAAATAAAGCCAGAACCAAAAACCAAGTCTTTTCCAAATCGCGTCAATATTAGTGGGAAAGCAATTCAAATTAATTATTTATGATCAGTCAAAGACAGGCATGTGTATGTGTTTAGTTTTACCTTTGAATATATGGTCACAAATAGATCAAAAGGGTTCACTTTTTAGCGTACAAATACACTTTTTGATTAAACGAGACTTAATTGGTTCATCTTTCTGACTACTTTCCAACTTCTTTGAAACCCTTACACAAAGTATGCAAATTAGACTAGAGGCAAGACCCAGGAACATGACTAAAACAACAGCTATCACAATGACAGAATATTAGATATTTATTTTGAACAAAAATGTATATAAAAAATACAATGAATTATCTTAATACAATTATCTATCCTAATAAGGGCAAAAAATAAATAAATAAATAAATCATACCATTAAATCTTAGTTGTTGTCGTGACAAAACTTTTTTCATCTTCAGTTATTAGGATTTGATGTTCGATCGTTAAAATTAAGAGATTTCCTATTAATAAAGACAAAACTCTTTGCCATTTTTTTAAATTAAGGTTATGATGTTTTTTTTTCTCTATTAATCCGAGCTGGCACTTTTAAAAATTTATAATTTAGGATATAACTTTTGTTATTTGACTAAATAAAATTAAGAAAATTTGCACAAGTTTAAAGAATAACATTTCTTTTAATAAAAGATTATAAAAAATTATATCATTATTTGTATAAAATCTCTCGAAACTAGAATTTGATTTTGTATAATACTCTGCCACAAACGGATCAAAAAATTGATGACTTGTTTACCACAAATTTTGCATGCCACCAAAAGTAATTAGGCAAATTCTTGATAATCAACAATGAGAATTAATTTCGACTCATTCTATGTGCGGTCAGTTAGAGAACTTTTTCATACCTTATATGTTCATCGAACCCAGGCTCGGGGTTCCTTGGAACCCAAGCTCTGGGTTCTTCAGCAAAAAAAAAAAAAAAAATTATGTTTTTGTGGGTGTTGTTTGATGATGATGATGAAGAACTGATTGATGTAGAAGAAGGATTGATTGATGAAGAAGGCAAGGAAAAAAAGAGGAAAGAGAAAAGGAAAGATAATGAGAAAGAATTTTTAAAATTTTTATTGCCAAATTATTATTTTTTTGCTAGCTGGCTTTCCGCTTGGACATAATGTTTTGACGTCTTCATTAGGTTTCTGTTAGTTAACGGTACACGTCATGAGATTTTTAATGGAAAGACCAATCACTGCAGCTGCTTACAAGTTTCCTTGGTTACATTTTCTTTCTTGACCACATAGGTCAAGTAAATGTAGAAATTGACATGCAATAAATATGATGTATGTATATGTCAATATGTAATATAAGAGTGGAGGAAATTTCAAATCAAAAGGGGACCAATTTCTAAACAAAATAACAATCCATGAATGAGATAGTTGTAGAAATTTCAAATTAATAAAGTAGCATGGAAAGATTAACATGTAATGAGTGGATAGAAATCTCTTTCCTAATTTCTCTACAATTGCGTATGGTTCCTCAATTATATTTTTATAAAGAAAATTCCTTGCACCCAAGTTTGGTGGGTAAACTCATCATAATCAATTCAATTGCATCATCACTACTATTTCAAAATTTAGTTTTGCCTTATGCTTTACATGTTACCCTATAAAATTAATAAACCATATTGATTTTAAGGGTCAACTTATAAGTTTAACTTAGTTAATTAGAGATCATCTCATATTATAATTCAATACAGTTTAGACTATAAACGAAGGTTCCCTAATACTAATATAGAAATGGTTAGAGGTAGTGCGGTGAGCAAAGCACATACTTTAGCCATTACTGCGATTCTCATTCTAGACTCTATATACTTGTTAATTTCCTACATTTTCCACTTCCTAGAATGAATTTGAATGATTAATAGAAAGGTCAAGGATTTATTCTATATATCAAAGAAGGAGAAGATTATAAATAAAAGTCTTTGATAAATTAGATTTAAATCTATTCCATCATTATTGTTTTAATTGAGTGCAATTATGGGTCACAAATAGAAGAGTAGCTAGTTTTCCACTAAAGTTTTTAATCAATCAAGCAGAATAACATGTTCATCTTTGAAATCCTAAATTTTATTTAACAAGAAAATTTGTGGCAGGAAAACTAAGAGAACTCAAAGAAGACCCAAGTCTTTGGCTCTTTACAAAAGCTACTCATGAGAAAATAACCTCCTCTAATTTTTCTGCACACATTGTTTTAATTTGATCTAATTGACAAGACAAAAGTTCTCATACAGAATTGATAAAAGATTTGAGTCTTACTCAGGGCACCATGATCAAGTCTTCGTTAATGCCCTAGTGTTCAAGTCATAAAACAACTTTTGTTTATTCCTCTCTGAGGGTTTGACAATATTAATTACACCATGCTTGTGATGGATGATGTTTACATATGAACTACTATTCCCAGTCCTTGTGATCAAGATCCGATGTCTTTATTAATGCTTTATATTAATTTTCAATGTCACTAAAAAGTCTTTAATCAATCAAGTAGAAAAACTTGTTCATCTTTGAGATCCTAAATTTTATTTGACAAGAAAGTTTGTGGCTAGAAAATTAAGAGAAGTCAAAGAAGACCCAAGTCTTTGGCTCTTTGCAAAAGCTACTAATGAAAAAATAACCTCCTATGATTTTTCTCCATACATTGTTTTAATTTGATCTAATTGACAAGACAAAAGTTCTCACACAGAATCAACAAAAGACTTGATTGAGTCTCAATGCCCTCGTGTTCAAGTCATAAAACAACTTTTTTTCCTCTCTAAGGGTTTAACTGACAATATTAATTACACCATGCTTGTGATGGATGATGTTTACATATGAACTACCATTCCTAATGCTTGTGATCAGAAGTTGATGTCTATATCGATGCTTTGTGTTAATTTTCAATGTCAATAAAACTTTGCAATAAATGAACAGATGAAGTTTAGGTATATTGATACACCAAATATGCACTACTATTAGGCAAGTGAACTTAATCGATTATGCAATATAAGATGAGTAAGATATTGTTTCCTCAAGGACTATTCTACGCTACCAAGATAATATTAATCTAACCTATATTGAATTAACCAATTAATGGAGTAAAGCTAAACTATTTAAAAAAAAACTACTTAAACTAAAGAAATTAAACTAAAGGAATTTTCTAAGTTAAAGAAACTATAAATGGGAAGGAACTAGGGCTTAAATTTCATTTAATTCTAAATTATGCAACTATTTAATTAATTTAATTTAAATTCAAATAATAGTATTATTGCATGAGATGACAGATTTCCCTAAATTAATTAACTAGCTTTCTCAACTCAAGTTAATCCTTCATTTGTTTGTTAAATTAATCATATTTTTATGTAATTTTAAACAAACTAATAAGCATTAAATTCTATGAAAACTTCTAGCTTAAAAAGGGGGAGCTCCTAACTCTCTTCTCTTCCTCTACTACCATATGTGAGCTAATTACCTCTCGATCTCATAATCTAACACACGATTTATATTATTATTGGTCTAATTTATGCAATTCTTTCTCAAGTTCATGCATAAATCACTAAATCAATTAAAAATGATCAAACTTCTAATGCATTAAGTTTAATAATATAAACTCCTCATGCGAATAACTTTAATTGAAAGTATAAAATCACAAAATCTATATTAAATTGATCAGGCTACATCGTAACCCTAATAAAATAAATTAGTTCATAATAAAAATAATAAAATCTGAAATCACAATTATAAACATAAGAATATCTAAGAAAAAACAAAACCTAATTTGAGATAATTGAAATCATTGATTTTCTATTATTGATGAACCTCTATCTTGACCTCCAAGAATGCCCAAAAGAGGGCTGCCACCGGCCTCCCCCATACTTAAAATTAACATTGTCATCAATGTAAAAAAATAATAATAATAATAAATAGATAAGAGAAGAAAAACAATACTCCCCTATCTTGCTCTTCCTACTATAGACATGCAATGTGTTCCTCTAGAGCCAAAAGATCTTGTTATAGTTGCCTAATATGCTGCAAGTACAATAAACAAGCTAACCCAGCACAAAGACTCAATGCAAGTTAGTGAAAAGAAAATGAATGAAAGAATTAAACAACTCCACAAAAATGCAGGGAACTAAAACAGAAAAATGTGAAACAACAGTTTTTTTTTTTTTTTTGATGGGTTGCCTCCCATTAAGCGCTTCTTTATAGTCATTAGCTTGACCATCACTGCAAAATGGTCAAGGATCTTTCAACCAAATGATGGAATTAAATGCAAGAAAATTACCACATTCAACATAAATTTTCAACATTTACCCATTCACCTTAAAAGTTCCCTTAGTATCATGTGAGATCTCAACAACTCCATAAGGAAAAACCTTTGTCACCATAGAAGGACCAATCCATCGTGATTTCAACTTACTTGGAAAAAGTCACAATCGAGAATTGAAAAGGACCTTGTCACCCACATGAAACTCTTTTTTTTGCACATGTAGATCATGCAATGCCTGGGTTCATTCCTTATAAATCTTGGCATTTTCATACGCACCAAGTCGTAGTTTTTTCAATTAATTCAACTGCAATTTTCTATGTTCACCTGCATCTTTCAAATCAAAATTCAAGTATTTAGTAGTCCAATATGCCTTATGCTCACGTTCCACAGGAATGTGACAAGTCTTACCAAAAACTAACCTATAAGGAGACATATCTATAGGAGTTTTGTAAGCTGTCCTATAAGCCCAAAGTGCATCATCTAATTTAAGTGACCAATCTTTCCTAGACAAGTTAACTATCTTTTCCAAAATTCTTTTCAATTTCCTATTAGACACCTCAACTTGCCCACTTGTTTGAGGGTGATATGGAGTAGCAATTTTATGAGTAACACCATATTTAGCCAATAAATTTTCATATTGCTTATTACAAAAGTGTTTACCTCCATCACTAACGACAGCTCTAGGTGTGCCAAATCTAGTGAAAATATTACTCTTCAAAAATTTAACAACCACCCTAGCATCATTAGTAGGACATGCAATAGCATTTACCCATTTACTCACATAATCTACTGCAACAAGAATATGCTCCTTACCAAAAAACGAAGGAAAAGGACTCATGAAATCTATGCCCTAAACATTAAATATGTCACATACTAAAATATTAGTTAAAAGCATTTCATGTCTCCTAGAAAGATTAGCAGTTTTTTGGCATTTGTCACATATGCATAAGCATATTTAAATAAAGAGGGCCAATAAAATCCACATTGCAAAACCTTAGATGCTGTTTTGGAGGCACCAAAATGACCACCAGCTTCTTTGTCATGACAAAAACTCAAAATTGCATCTACCTCTTCTTGTGGTACACATCTCCAAATCATTCCATCATCACGTATCTTTTAAAGAAATGGTTCATCCCTCAAGTAATGTTTAATATAAAAAAAAAAAAAAACTTCTTTTTCTATTGAAAAGATAAGTTAGGAGGTAAGACATTACTCACAAGATAATTAACATAATCTATACACCAAGGTAAAGAAAAAAGAGTAGACAACGAAACTAAGCACAATTACTCATCTGGAAACTCATCAAGCAAAAGTTGATCATCCCCACATTCCACATACGCCTCATCTAACCTGGACAAATGTTCAGCAACAAAATTTTCTACACCTTTTCTATCGTTAATTTTTAAGTCAAACTCTTGCAATAACAAAATCCATCTCAACAACCTAAGTCTAGCCTCCTTTTTAGCAAACAGATATTTAAGTGCAGAATGATCAATATAAACAATCACCTTGAATAAAATTAGATAAGGTCTAAACTTTTCAAAAGTAAACAGCACAACAAGTAAATCTTTTTTAGTAGTAGTGTAATTATTTTGAGCATCATTCATTGGTTTTTTTTTTTTGAAAAGTAAAAGTAATATTTATTGATATGGAGTACAAGGGGTACCTCAAACCCGTAAACATCTTAGTTTGAAAGGCCAAGAGTTACATAGTCAAATAGCCCTTCCGTTTGGTGTCGACACCTATATTGTGTGTCGACACCAGGTCCGTGTCGGACATTGGAACTCAGTTCTTCCGTTTGGTGTCGACACCGTAATAGAGTGTCGACACCACGACCGTGTCGGGTTTCACAATGCCCAGCCCTTCCAGAATACCATAACCTCCCTTGTTGATATTTTTGGCTCTGGGTTTCCTTAGTTGCATTTCTGGTACCTTCCAACTGTTTGCAGCATGCTTGTATTCTTCAGCCTCCTCACACACTTCCTTGATGCTGTGGTGGCTCCTATCCATCTACTCCTATTTTTACCTGATGGTTGTATATTCTTTGTTTTTCCTTCTGCCTACATAGTAAACTTTAGACAGCTTGCCAGATCCTGTAGCCAATTAGATAGTGAGAATAAGCAACCTCCTCTTTTATCTTTCAACCAGTTGAAGGACTTAAGTTGCACCAGCTCTAGCATTTTTCTTCTGTCTGTTTCCTTTCTTTTGAATACCCTCCCGTTTCTTGTTAGCCATATTGTCCATATTGTGGCAAACCATATGCACTCCCATCCTTCCTTTTCCTTCTCTGTTTTCACCATGTTGCCATGCTATTCAAACACCTTCCAGCAGTCATTGTCGAGTACTGTCTTGATACCCCACCATTTATAACAAGCACTCCACAATTTATAATATACTTCACAGTGAAGAAAGATGTGGCTGGTATCCTCATATGTCCTCCCACAAAGGTCACACTTACACTCCTCAATCTCTTTTATAATACCTCTTTTGAACAGGTTTACCCTTGTTGGAATTTTATCCTGAAGCATTTGCCATGAGAATGCTAAGATTTTGCTGGGGATTGATGTGTTCCATATTTTCTGCATTTTTGAATTCTGCTGCTCGCTACCTTGTTCTCCCGTAAGTCTTTGGTAGGCTGAACATGTTGAATAATTCCCGTCCTTGCTATGTATCCACCTCCATACATCTGGTTTTCCTCTTTCTATTTTGATTTCTTGAATCAGCCTTTGAAGTTTCGATTCTTACTGCATTTCCCAACTGTGCAAGCTTCTCTTCCACATTAGTTTCCACACCCATGATGCATTTTGCCACCCTCCCATTTGACTTATGCTATTGTTCTTTCCTATAGACAATGAGTAAAGTCTTGGAAACTTGTTAGCAAGACTCTCTCCCTCACCCCACTCATCCCACCAAAAACTTACTCCTGCCCCTTCCCCTACATTTATTTTCAATCCATTAGTAAGCCAGCCCCTGTTATCACCAACTGCCTGATTCACTCTACAGATATCCCTCCACCAAGTTGATCCAAATTGTATTCCCCCCCTCAGCATGTTATAGGTTGATTCCCCTACCCTTCCATACTTCTCACAAATGACAGTTTTCCATAATCCTTTTCCTTCCGACATTAGTCTCCCCCACCATTTTCCTAATAACGCCACATTAAACTTCCTCAAGTCCTTAACCCCCAATCCACAACTCTCTTTTCCTTTACAGACTTGCCCCCAATTAACCCAATTAACCCAATTAACCCTCTTCCCTCCCTCAGACCCCTCCCACAAAAATCTTCTATGAATTTTATCAATTAAAAGAATCATACCTTTCGAGACTAGGTACAATGACATCCAAAACACGGGGAGGTTGGACAGTACTGAGTTAATAAGAGTTATCCGACCACCAAGAGAAAGAAACCGACCCTGCCAAGTGTGAAGCTTCTTGTTGAAGGTTTCCAGCAATGGTTTCCAGAAGGCTATTCTCCTCGGATTCCCCCCGATAGGGATTCCTAGATACTTAAATGGCATACTTCCTTTTTTGCAGCACAACAGCCATGCCATTCTATCCAACCATTCCTCTTGTACACAGATTCCCATCAGTTGGCTTTTGTTAAAACTGACCTTAAGTCCAGAGACGATTTCAAATGCTCTCAGAATTCCTTTCATTGCTAGGACATTTTTCTCAGTAGCTTCTCCAAATAGGATTGTGTCATCTGCAAATTGAAGATGTGACAATTTCAGACCTCTGCTTCCCACTTCGACTCCCTCCAACAATCCTTTTTGAGTTGCATTTGATACCAGCCCATTTAAACCTTCCGCAATGATTAGGAATAAGAAGGGTGATAGGGGATCTCCTTGTCTAAGACCTTTTGACACACTAAATTGCTTTGTTGGGCTACCATTGACCAGAACTGATACAAGGCTTGTTCTTAAGCACTCTCCGATCCACTTCCTCCACTTGTCACAGAATCCCATCCTCTGTATCATATATTCCAGGATTTCCCAACTAACCTTATCGTAGGCCTTTTCAAAGTCGATTTTAAATATAATTGTTTTCCCCGGCAGCGGCGCCAAAAACTTGATGAGCTAATTCCACTCTAGCATGTGTACTAGTCTGTTCAAGTAATATAATGATGAAAATAGAGTATCGTCTCACAGAGACCATAGACTAATTAAGTACCAAAATTAATAAATTCTAATTTTATTTGAACAATTGAAATTAAATGATTTGAATAAAGTAAATAACTAAACTAATTAAAGAAAAACTAAATTAACTTTGATTAACACCAAGAATTAAAAGTCTAAGGCATCCGACTTCACCATCATCAACTAATATAGAATTTTAGATCAATATACTTCCAAGGTATTTATTATTCATGTGACAGCGGGATTTCCTAATTTATTCGATATACTTTCTCAAGTTATACCAAACCTATCTTCACCTATTAACCCACTATATCTCTATGTGAATTTAAATAGATAAAGACGCATTATGTTATATGAAATTCCCTAGTTTAGGTAGAAAATTAAGTCCACTTATCACTAATGCTGCACAAATCACGTTGGTCCATCTCTGGCTTTCGTTCAATTCATGGTATATATTACTAAAAGCTATTGCATAAAATCTCCTCTCAGTCTCAATTATGCTCTTAAAATCAGTTTTAATGGTGGCCAATCATCAAAAAGCATTAAGAACAATAATATATACTCAACATGAATTAATAACCCTTGAAAATATAAAAATCATGAAATTCTATATTAAATTGATCAGGCTACATCGTAGCCTTAGATGGCAAAATTAGTTCATACTAAACATGGTAAAATCTGAGATTAAATTGATGAACCAAAATTCCATATCCAAACAAGGGAAAAATAAGTCTAGAAGAGCAAAAACCCAATTTGTAGAACTCCGATCGGTGGCCTGAAGTGTTGCGCTTGTCCCTTTGTTTTGGATTGAAGTGTCCAGCGGCTGCCCTTGCGTCTGCCGTCACTCCACTTGCGTCTCTGTGTGTGGCTGTCCTCTTCTGCTGCTGGTAATAAACAGATGTGGGTTGCTGGGATGTGGGCGGCTGGGTGTTCTTTTCCTCTTGTACAGAACCCTCTCCTGCGTCTGTGTGGCTGTGTGGCTTCCGTCTCCCCCATTGATAACTATTTGAAGCCATCTCCTCTATGAGGTTATAACCCTCATCAGCATGTTTACTCATTAATGATCCTCCAGCAGCAGCATCAAGCATGGTACGATTATTAGGAAATAAACCACTATAAAAAGTGTGTACCTGTAACCATATAGGTAGACCATGATGTGGACACTTCCTAAGTAGCTCTTTGTATCTCTCCCATGCCTCATATAATGACTCCATATCCAGCTGCACAAAAGTAGCAATATCGTTACGCATCTTAGCAGTTTTAGCAGGAGGGAAAAA